CTCCCTCTCTCCAAGTGTGAGATGTAGTACTGCACGTGGAATGTGCAGTGATATGCTGTAATGATTGTGCTTTGTAGTTGGTGCTGTTCGAGGCATACTTGATACTCGGTAATAACAAGTTAACAACGTCTTTGCTGTCCTTTGGGTCAATCGTTGGAGTAGGAACAAAATAATAAAATAGATAAAGTCTCATAAAGATTAGCATAGCCCCTGTGTGAGGATGACACACATAAGTTTGGAAATGGTTGGAATAAACAAAAAGAAGAAGAAAAGAAAAAGAAAAGAGAAAAGAAAAAGAAAAGAAAAAGAAAAGAAAAAGAAAACAGTTTTGGCTAAGAAGATTGTGTAGTATCTGTTCTGGTCAGTGTAATATGTGATCCGCGCGGTCCACGGGACCACATGATATTTCTTATTTAAGAAAAAAAAGGTTCTGGGTGACTCTGCTTACTCGGAGGTGAACGACTGCAGATACGGACTACGCAAACAGTCGTAAGGGTATCTAGGCGTCGAGGTTGTCGAGATACATTGAGAATGTTTTGTCGGTCTGGATGTATCTGGATCATAAACGTGCCAAATGCGTTTTGAATGTTTGGTGGAGTGAGGCCCAATATTGGCAAGCAGTAGCTGATGCTATATATCTGTGTCTTCTGGGATTTGGAAACGGTGATGATGCGAAATGGATGTTGCCATTTGCAGATCTTGACACAGTTTTCGATGAACGGATTTTGCGAAGTTTGCATACTGTGCCCGCCGCTGCATATGGTGAACACTGTGTTGATTGAACCGGTGCATCGTCTTTGTCACTGACTCGCTGCTAATGGGATTCTCTCGTTATTTATCGAGGGGTCAAACTGATGGCATGTATGGTGTGGGTGTGTGTAGTCTGTGGACGTGAATCATATGATCATGCACTGCTCCGATGAAGCGGTACAATCTCACCAGTTTAGTATTTCCCTGTTCCCGCTTTAAATCTGGGCTTCTTACTGTCCTAGCTGCTGTGGGTATTGCCCATCGTTACAATGGAAGGGAATTACTGCCTGCACGGCTGGGATCACTATAGTTACTGTGGTAATTCTGTGTGCGTGTGTGTGTGTGTGTGTGTGTGTGTGTGTGTGTGTGTGTGTGTGTGTGTGTG